AATGGACATTGTTTCCCTACTCCATTCATAATGGTAAAAGGACTAAGTCAAACAGTAATACTTGGTATCCCTTTCCTTACTCTTTTATATCCAATCACAATTAATAGTAAGGGAATAGAAACAACCATAGTAGGAGAAACAATAATGTTTGAATTTGTAGATAACCAAAATTAAAAGAAATAAATAGGGTTAAAGATAACATAAAAAATAAAGAGAATTTTTTATGCTCATTAAAAGAAGAAATTAAACATAAAATGATAGAAGAAAAGTTACATTCTAATGAAGTTAAAGAACAAATAAAAAACTGATAGAAAATGAAATATGTAGTGAATTACCCAATGCTTTTTGGGAAAGAAGAAAGCATATAGTAAGTTTACCATATGAATCTACCTTTTATGAATCTAAGATTCCTACAAAAGCAAGACCAATACAAATGAATACAAAATTATTAGAATTTTGTAAAAAAGAAATAGATGGCTTGTTGACTAAAGAATTAATTAGACCAAGCAGTTCTCCTTGGAGTGGTGTTGCATTTTATGTCAATAAGAATGCAAAACAAGGAATTTATCTTGGGATATTTGCAAGGCTTCAGGCATTATTTGGGATTTGGATCCCCAAACCATAAACCATCTTTAAACCAGTTTGGGAATGGGTCAATAACTGACATTTTAAATTGGAGAAACCAAGTGTGAGAATTGTACTGGTTTTGTACTGTTAATACTTTATGCCAGGCTTCAACATATTCAGAATACCTATAATGTGTATTTGGGAATCCAAGGGATATTAATCTCTTGGCTTTAGAAGGGTCTGAATCCCATTCATTGAAATGTAACACTTTTCGTATTTGCAATTTTGAATATGATATTACTTTTGAATTCTTTTGATAGTAATGAGTTATGGGAATATAACTTGTTTTCAGTAAAAGCATCTCAAACCATTCCTTGGTTTTTATACCATGTCTGTGGGGATGATGGAGGTTGGCTAGAATATGAAGGATAGACTGGGTTATTTGGGTTGCTTGGAGAGTATAGTGTCAAATTTCTGATTGGTGATGGTGATGAAGTGGTTGGAACTAAATCCATGGTCATGTCCATTGGCATTTTTCCTTTATTATTAGTATTCATATTCTTATTATTATTGAACAATATTAAAGCTAAAGGGAGTTCTTCTAGGTCAGATTTGTCTGTTCTGCCCCCCCTGAGTTCTTTTGGATCAGATTTGTCTGTTCTGCCCCCCTGCAAAAATTCACGGGTGAGAAAATCAGGGAGATGATTAAGAGAACTATGTAAATGTTCAATCGTAAAATCGAAAGTAGAGAGAATAGCTTGCCATCTTGCAAATATTTGCTTAGAAACTAAGTTTTGCACATCCTTAAGAAGAATATCTTTAGCAGCTTTACAATCAGTACGAATCAGAAAAGTAGTATTAAGAATATCACTTGGAATTAGTAATGCAATGCACTATTGCTAAAATTTCTTTTTTAACAGTAGAATAATTTTGTTGAGTAGGATTCCATGCTTTGGATGTATATTTGACTAGCTGTTCAGTGGAATTTATTCTTTGTTTAAGGATTCCTCCTAATCCTAATTCTGAAGCATCACATTCAATTATTTTAAATGCTTCTGGATCTGGAAGTGAAAGGCAAGGTAATTTTTTGGATTTGAGTTTAAGTTTTTTAACTGCTTCAGTATGAATATCAATCCACTTGGGAGGATTCTTTTTTAGTCTATCATATAAAGGTTTTGCATCTATTGCCAAATTTTTATAGAAATCTACGATATAATTAAGACATCTTAAAAATCTTTGTAA